ACGAAGTAGGCGATCTCCTTGCCCTTACAAACTCCTTGGTTCAACTCCATAATCTTGTCGGAGGCTCCCAAGTGACACCTAGCCAATCTAGGAGACACCACTCTCCAAGAAGTAACAAATGGTGTGTTGATGATGAACTCCTTGCTCTTGTGCTTCAAATGATAGTCTCCCCAACACTCAACTCTCTCTCACAGGATTTGGATTTGGTGGAAAGAAGATTTGAGTGGAAAGCAACTTGGGGAAGGCTAGAGATCAAGATTCATATGGTTGGAATGGAATATCTTGGCCTCAACACATGAGTAGGTGGTTCTCTCTCAGAACTGGTAAGTTGGAAGTGTAGGTTTGTTCTGATGGCTCTCTCCACGAATGAAGAGGAGGTGGAGGGGTATATATAGCCTCCACACAAAATCTAACCGTTACACACAATTTACCAAACTCGGTGGGACCGAATCATCAAACTCGGTCGGACCGATTTAGTAAACCTAGTGACCGTTAGGGTTTTCGGTGGGACTGACATGCAACTCGGTAGGACCGATATGATTAGGGTTAGGGCATAACTTAATCTCGGTGAGACCGATTACACAAACTCGGTGAGACCGAATTTGGTAATTAGCTAACCAGAGAGTTGGTCAGGTAAACTCGGTGGGACCGATTCGCTCTTTCGGTGAGACCGAAAAGTTACGAAAGAGAAACAGAGAGTTTACATTGCAATCTCGGTGGGACCGATCGCTCACTTCGGTTAGACCGAAACATTACGAAGGGAAACAAAGAGATTACAATCCCATCTTGGTGAGACCGAGATCCCTATCGGTGAGACCGATTTGCCTAGGGTTTGTGGCAGTGGCTATGACATCTGAACTCGGTGGCGCCGGATAGAAAGAATCGGTAGGGCCGAGTTTGACTTTAGGTTTAGGTCATATGTGGATGTGAGAAAGTATTGGAGGGTTTTGGAGCATATCACTAAGCACATGAAGCAAGAGGCTCATTAAGCAACACCTCATCCCTCCTTGATAGTATTGGCTTTTCCTATAGACTCAACGTGATCTTGGATCACTAAAATGTAAAATGAAGAGTCTTGAGATTTTGAGCTTGAGCCAATCCTTTGTCCTTAATATTTTGAGGGATCCACTTTCATCATCCATGCCATGCCATTCATTGAGCTTTCCTGAAATATTTGTCTTGGAATAGTATTAGCTCAATGAGCTATATGTTGTTATGAATTACCAAAACCACCTAGGGATAGTTGCACTTTCAATCTCCCCCTTTTTGGTAATTGATGACAACATATAGATCAAAGCTTCGACAAATGATAATAAGATTGAAAAACATCGTCGCTTTGAGAAGTATGTGATAAGCAAGAGCTCCCCCTAAATTTGTGCATTGCTTTGGACTGCAAATGCACAAGGAATTAGGCTCATGGGTTACTCTTCCATGCCACATACATCTTGGTGGAGTGTTCAAAATAATAAAGATTGAATGCATGCACTCATCACCAAGCAAAGTGAATGATCATATAAGGATAAGTAAGATAATATCATAACAAGCATAAGTGTAGCTTATGATCAAACACATGATCATCAATGTCTCACAGGTAAAAGCATAGTATCTCAAGCAATCAAAGCAAACGAAGTTCAACCAAGAAGACAAGAGAGAACAAAAGCAAATCTCTCTCTCTCTCTCTCTCGAAGCCTATGATCTATACATTTTTTCTCCCCCTTTGACAACAAGTTATCAAAAAGTTCTTAGAAAATGCATAGGACTATATCGTCTCTCAGGCTTGGTCTTCTGGTGGTGGTGTCCTTTGAAGCTTACCTCATTTGCTGCCTCTGCATGATGTGCTGCCCAACAGCCTCCTCTCTGCTAGTGATGCCTTGAATGCGTTGTGTTGTAATCTTATACTTGTGTGTGTGTGTGTGTGCGCGCGCGCGCGTGCGTGCGTGTGTGTTTTCTGTGTTCTTGCCTTGACAAGATGTATTGCCCCTCGGATTGTTATGGTTTTTGATCCGAGTTTGAGGTCTCCACATAAACTGGATCAATAGTTTTTTACTTGGTTTCCCACATAAACCTCTGAATTGAGGTAAGACCTACCTCATGTTTGTTTCCTGCAAAATTCCTAGTTTCATAGGGATCTTGATGAGCCATTCCTTTATTTATTTCGAACAGCACCGTAGGGTTTTTCTTCCATACGAATTTGATCATACAATTTTTACGCTTTTCCTTTGTTCCAAAGGGGTTAGAGGGAGTAAGGGAAAAAAGGCATGGTTGGGGATGATGTATGGTTGAAATATCCATTTCAAATGTTGGGCTTTCGTGGAGTGGACTGGACCCCTGTGTCGTGTAGGTAGAGAACTCTAAGCTACTGCAAGATATGCAGCATCATGCATGTTAACATGTCATCATCAGTAGTTCAGTACCAACTGACCCACAAGAATGCAATTATGCATATCTGTATGCAGTGGTAGCTCGCAAGTACACATACAAATGATACAAATAGCATGCATGCAGCCCCACGTAGGAAAGCAACAGTTGAAAATCAGTTCCTAGCTAACTCAGATTGGGTGGCCTGTAGCGTAGCTAGTTGTGTCAACTGAATTTTGCAGATGTTGAAAGAAGAAAATCTAGAGCCCCGCCTCCTCTGTCCTCCTCCCCAAGAAAGATTAGGGTTTCTCTGCCTTCTGCCGGCGTTGCAGGCGATCCGCCTCGTTTCCTATGGCCTTGGGGCCATGGGGACACGGTGGATTCCGGCCCTTGCCAACGGGGGGCTTCATTTTTAGATGGTTCTTTGAGTTTTTGTTAGGGTTTATGTCCTGCTCAGGAAGGCGAGGCGACGGCGGCTCCCTGAAGATGGAATATGTCCTCCCCGTATAGCCCCCGCCCCGGTGGTGCGTCTAGCATCGTCTATGGACGTGTGGAGGTGTGTCTCTGGTGGATCTATCTTTGATGGATCTGCTCGGATTTGGTTGTCGTTCGCTACACTTCATCAGTGGCGGCTGTTGTTCTGGTGCGTTGGTCCTGTGAGGCCTTAGCATGACGACTTCCCGACACAATAAGTTTTGCCTGGCTCCAGCAAGGGAGGGGCGATAACGGCAGCGCGCCTTCGACTCGTTTCAGTGCTTGTAGTCATCGTTAGGTGGTCTACGAATCTTGATGTAATTTTTATTATTTCTGGTCTTCGTTGTATTGTCATGATTGAAGATGAATAGATCATAAGTTCTCTCACAAAAAAAGAAAGAAAGAAGAAGATTTACGAAAATCCTTTTCTAAGCCCGGGCTCATCTGCACCCGTGTTGAATAAAAAATAAAAAAAATACTAGAAGAATTCATAAAAACCATGGTAGAAAATATGATGCGTGAGGTCCGCCCCAATTTTCAAATCATTTGGACAACTGAGCATCTCTCGGCAAAAAAAAACAAATTCGGGGTTTGTAAAACAGTTTACTGTTCATGTACTGTTTTGACCTAATTTTTCTTTTTTGCTGAGAGCTACTCAGATATCCAAATAAGCTAATATTTGGAGCGAACCTCACGCAATAAATCGTCTACCATGAAAAAAAATTGGAATTTTTTGAATTTCTTTAGTATTGTTTTTGAATTTTTTCTGACTGGTGGAGATGAGCCTGGGCACCCAATCACTGCACTCGAAAATCTACTCCTACCTCGCAAAAAAAAATGTAGTGAGTTTTGCAGCTGAGCTGGGCTGGCTATTTAGGTAGGCAAGTAAGGAATAGCATAACGCATAACTAACGCATGGTAATTGAATTGATGGACTCCTCCCTCCCAAAACATTTTACTGGCTAAGTTGGTGAACGCCCGGACGTTACGGTGGTCATGAATCCATCCTCTCCATCACCCGTCCCCAAATAAACAAGACAAGGCAACGCAACGCATGCATATATAAAGCAGCTAGCAGGCGGACGGAGCTAGCTCGCCGCGAACCAGATGCCAACGACAACGACGACGACGAATGCGAGCGGCAGCAGGGCTTGCGGGAGGAGCATGACGGCCGCGATGTCGCTGGTATTGCTGCTGGCGCTGCTCGGCCGGCCGTCTCCGGCGACGGCGCAGCTTGGGGACGCCCACAAGTGCCGCGACACGTGCCTGGAGGGGTGCACCGGGTGGGTGGTGGTGTGCCACATGTCCTGCGCCAGCGCCTGCGCCGGGGCCGGCGGCATCGGCATCATGAGCATCGACAACGGCATCCCGCCCGACCACCCCAACCCCGACGATCTCCCCAAGCCGCCGCCGCTGCCGGACCTTCTTCACCCCCTCCGAGGAGCCGGCGGCATCGCCTTCAGCCCCGCGCCGTCACCGGCAGCATCAAAATCATCATCGTCGTCGTCGACATCGGATGATGATTAAGAGATTACTAGGCAACTAGTTAAGCACTATCCATAGATTGGTTGCAACAAGCAAGCATATATTCTGCATTCTCTTTCAACAATTCTCTCCTCCAATGAGTCAAATAAAATTAATTAAACAGCACAGCTCCTTGCACTAAAATTAATATTAATATTGATCGACAACGCGCCGCGCCGCAGTTTAATTACACAAAA